GAACACATTGGAATCGTAAAAACGCATTTGTAAAAAAAAACAATAAAATAAAAACAAACAAACAAATAAATAAATAAATAAATAAATAAAAAACACACACATTTGTCGTCTGCTAAGTACAAGTTAGCCTTAGCTGACTTTGCCTGGCCGGGCCCAGAGGCCGTGACGTTAATGTTGTTGAAACTACCCAATTTGAAGTTAATGTCACTGTCACCTAAATAGGCTACCAATTAGTGTATGCAGAGTTTTAAAGATTTGTCTTTTATGAAATGCATCAACATACAGTATGTGGTTTTCTACTTACCATTCCAATGTGTCGATTCCGGCGTTTGCTTTTAATTTCATTTTGTTTTTACATAATTTACACTTTCTTTTCTTTTTCAGAAGCCCTCTCTTCATAAGCCATTTCACAACCGTGGATGTTCTTCTTTTGCACAATGTGAAAATCTTTTTTTCTAGCCTTACTCGGTTTCGCATGCCTTCGCTCTCAGCTCTCAGGTGGTTAAGGTAAACCGGAAGTCACCTCCTGCTGTATCTCCTTCTTCTTCTGATGGGTCTATTAGCGGGTGGCAACCAAGTGTAAAAGGTGCATTACCGCCACCTACTGAACTGTTCCATTTGGATGTTTTCCAATTTTATGTAAAGATTGGTTTAGTCACGTGCGTCTTATTCGCAAACGTGTTAATAGTGTCTCTTCCTTTCTATCCCCGCTCCATGTTCGTCTTTGACCCACGTCTTCTTGAATTTTATACAGGTGTCTCTGTGTCATTTGTATTCCAGCGTTCTTGCCATATTTTAATCATTTCATCTGTAATTATAGTTCTGCCTTCGGCCCTAGTGATTGGCTAACTGATACCTCCTCCTTTCCATATCCCAGCGGTAATATTTGTAAATTTTACCTAAGCTGAAAATTATTAACAATCTAAGTATAGCATAGACCCCTCTGTTTGAGAATATGCGAAAAAATAAGAACGTTATACTGGACCAGCAATCGAAATTCAGTCATGCTTTAGGTGGCAAACTATTGTTCCGCTTGACCGTCAGGTGCTGTGCGACCGTGATTCCCAGCAAGACTTGCCCATCTCTGAGGAAGAAGGAATGTATTCGCGACGGAAGAAGCGAAACCCACGGTACCCACCGAAGCATTTAATGCAGAAGCCGAGTCCCAATGGTAATATTTGTTAATGTTACGTCTCGTATGATATGTAAGGTGCTGAGCACATTTTGTTTGTAATACACGTTTCTAGCTAAACTTTTAGCAATACTGTTAGCACAGTACAGTAGTTAATGCTTTGTGAACAACATTTTTCTTGTCATTAGGTCATTATCATTTACCATCAATGTTTGCAGTTCGCTGGTAACTTAATGACTAATGTTAGTGGCTGTAACTGGTGGTAATTTTTTGGTGTGTTTTTCTTATATTTGGCATGCTTAATGGTAATGAGTTTATCTATTCAGAGGCAGATGAAGACTTGGATGCTGGGTCTCCTCACTCTGCAGCATCAGTGCATGCGGCTCCAGGCAAGTTGTCTTAGCAACAAAGTGTTAGCACATCACCAAATCTGTTCAAAATAACTTCAAAATTGTTTATCATATCTATTTAAATGCTTTGATGAACTTGTGTGCATCATCCCTTGGTACTGGAGAGGTGGAGATGGAGAATTCTTTAGAGCCTGAAACTTTACAGAGTCAATTAAAAAGAAAGGGGCTTTCCCATATGAGCACAGGTACTGAAGTAATTGGCATGGCACACAATAAAAACATGTGGTCAAATTGAGATACAGATAAGAATTGTAACATTTTACTGTAATTTATGTACTAATGCATGACAATCATTTTTTGTCTTGTTTGGATTTTGCAAGGATTTACTAAATTTGTGCATATTTAATGATTGTATAATAACAAAATGTATCACATAAACCCTTTTGAACACAGATTGTCCAGTTTCCACACCAAGCAGTCTGAGCAGTGCTCTGTGTGTTCGAGAGGGTAAGTACCAAGATGGTCTCTCATTCAGGCCCCGTCCACACGGCAACGTGATGATAATTACACAAAGCTGTTTATTTGGTTTGAATAGCATTTGTTTATACCTGACATCCAGAGCCCAAGTGTCCTGCATGTGTTTTATGTTGGGTTGCGACCTCCAGCCCCGCCTAGTTTGTTGTCCGTTTGTCCCGCAGTTATTGTATAAATATGTTGTGACCGACTTGTCATTTGGGGGTTGTTCCCAGCACACCACGACACCGACAGCAGCACAGGTTTAACATGTTTTATTTAATAAATAATGTAAAATTAATTCCCCAGCCCTGACACACCCTGACACACACTCGCACACACACCTTCTTCTGCCGGAAGCCGTCAGTGTTGTTTACACAGCCTCCCGGCTAGCCTACTGTCCTTTTGCACTCGGGACCCCATCACAGGACCCTCCTGGTCCCAGATGCTCCAGCCTCGCATCTACACCGCTGCTTTCGAGAGTGAGGGATCGCCGAATCCCACCGTCGATCCCTCTGCTGCTGTGCCACTAGCCAGCTGGTCTGCGACCCCTCTGGCTTCTCCAGTGCAGGCTCCCAGCTTCCTCCCTGAGGCAACGTCTCTTCCTCTGGTCCCACTTTCATGCCATCTGTGTTGCACCTCTGCACAACACACACACACACCACCACTCACACTCAGCCCACCCCCTCCCGTCTCTACACCTCCACATATGTGTTGTGTCATACCTTCTTCCCTTTATACGATCCGCTGGGAAGAGGAAATAAACGGAGCTCGTCTCCAAACACAGTGCTGGTGTAGCATGGGTCCCTCACAACACAAAGACAAAGCAGAAGTCCACCGGTCACACTCGCCCCGAGTCAGACACCGCTACTTTACATAACCGCGACAATGTTGGACTACATGCTTGCAAGAAGCTACTGAGCTTATTAGCTTTACTAAACAAAATCTTCTGCTTCTTTGCTACTATTGGGGACAACAACATACGTCACGGCAAGGTTAATGCGCATGCTCCAACATCGTTTTATTCGTTTTCACCATTTTCGTGTTGACGCAAATACTTCATGAAACGACTCCATCTTTACAGAAATCGTTTTAACAGAAGTATGCGTTTTTGCATTTCCATGTAGACGGGGCCTCAGTTTGATCATTTTGTTTTTTATGTTAAGTGCAATACAAAATATGCTTGGTCTTTTAAACAATTGGAAGTGAAATAATACTATTTTTGGGACTACAGAACCACAAAA